ATTTGGGCCAAATGGGTAAGCCCAAGCAAAATAATCTTCAAAATCCATACCCAAACCGACCCAACCCAGTGCCTTAAACCCGACCTGCTTTTTTTTAAATGACCAAACGACGCTGTTTTGGCGTCAATCAATCCCGGCCATTCATCCTGTTTAATCCAACGGACCGTGTTCACTCTGGACAAATTAATAAAACGGCCTGAATCCAATTCTAACCCTAGAGACATCTACTTCTTCCTCGTACTCATCTGCAGCTCCGCCGGCGAACGCCACAGCCTCCAAACCGCCTCAAAACAACACCCCAGATTCCCCATTCCTTCCTCTCTCCGAATCCATACTTCTTTTCCCTCGAATCTTTCCCCATCTCCTCAAATCTTCGAGGGAAGATTTTCCGACGATGGCGCCACCACCCCCAAATGACCCCAAAATAACACCCTGGATTCCTTTTTCACTCCTCTACCCAAATCCACTGTCCGTTTTTCTCAAATGTTAACCATTCTCTTCGAATCTTAATTCGAAATTTCCGGCCAAGACACAACCTTGTCCAAACCGGCCCAAATTCGCACCCCACAGTCCCCGGATCTCCCTGGTCCCTAATCCCTAACCAAAACCCTTCAAATCTCACTGGTTATGTTCGAATTTCAAATCTAGGGTTGGGGTCAGCTTGTTTTGGGAGTTTTCAGGTCGATTGATTTCTGTTTAACATTACCTGCCTATTTTTGACGAAATAGACAAATAACGTTAATTGAAAATCAATTTCGACGAGTTAGTCATGTGAAGTCTGAAATTAGTAAGTTCTGTTCTTCGTCTCCCTGCTTTGTTTAATTTTGTTTCTTCATAGTTTTTATTTCTAGTTCAATTTGTGTCTAAAATGATTTCGTTTACATAGTTTCCAATGTTAATTGATTATGTGGTTATTTGTTTAGGATTAATAATCATAGTCATTCTCTTCTTTTCTTTCTTCGATTGTTTCATCCCATTGGTTTCAGTTTATGATTATCAGCGATTGATTATTTTGTTGTTTGGATATTACTGAATCAGGCTAGTTTAATTGTAGTTAGGTTTTTGTTTAACTAATGTTAAGGGGTGGGTTCAGTTACCTGAAGTAGGTAACCCTAGGATGAATTCAGGGGTAGTTTGGTACTTTAAAATGCATAAGAATGTTGTAGTTACAACTAGGATCTTCTAGGACCTTCCAAAGTAGGGCCTTAGTGCAAAGGTCAACAATTTTAATGTATTAACTTGGGGCGCAAGTCAGAAAATAAAGGACTAAATGAGTAAATAAAGAGGGACTAATAGGCAATTGAGAATCGAAAATATTAAAAACCCTCTGCCTATAAAAAAGGCAGTGGGGATTGTCTTGCTTCTCAAGTTGGAGAGCCCAAAAATTCTCCCCAAAACTCCATCTTCAAATTTCAGATCTAGCATTCAAAATTCAAACTCCAAAAAACCCAAAAACAATAGAAAATTTGAGAAAAAATCCAAAAATAGCTACTGATCCATTGAAATCTTTAGTTTAATTTCAAGTTTGAGTATTTGATCTTCATCTCTTAGTTCCCAGGTTGATGGCTGAGGCGTCATTGATATATGAGTTGATTTTGAATGAGTTTAGGTCTAATTGAGCCGGATTTTGATTGAGCTTTGTTTTGCGGAAAGTGTTAAGTGTATTCTGGGCTATTTTCAAGTTTATTTGGTTTGGTTTGCAACTGTTTTGAGTAGATCTCTCAATTCTATTTGGTTTAAAACACTTTGGAATTCTGAAGTTCATTCCTGGGATATTTTCGTTATCCTACATCGCTGGGAATTGATTGCTACTGTTGCTGTTTGAATTATTGCTGAAGCTGACTTTTTCTCTTCTTATGTTGACAATTCCATTTCCAGGTACAAATTCTGAACTATCGTGATGTAAGCTTTGATTTGAAGAAGAAATAAAAGGCAGTCTTAAGTTAATTGTGTTTTGATCGTATTATTTTATGATTCTTATGTATTAGACGCCCAACTCAATATGTAGCTAGGTTGATTTACTGTCGATTAATTGAATTTTCATGCTATAATTAAATTGTGAACTGCTGGACATTATACTGTATTTGGATATTAACGTATTGTGCTTGGGTTTTAGCATAGGTTGAACCCCATCACGATTGATGTTATCACCTTGGGATACTGTTAAGCTTAGCATAGCAATTAGTTTGTTACTCTATTACTGAAGTCACGTATGTTAGGATGAATATACAATACAAGTCGACATGGGCTTTTCATGATGGGTATTAAAAGGTGCATAGTGATTAAGCCTTTGTAGTTATTTAAATCTGAAAGTTGATTTCATGTTCCATTATCATTTTTATCTTAAATATTAATCAGTTGTGAATGATTAAGTAAACATTGGAAAAGACCATCCAAATGGTTAATTCTTATAAGCTTGAGTCTCCAGTAGGAATAATGCTCCCATGAGCCTAGCTGACTCAACTAGCTTTACTTAAAACCCCGCAGTATTTCTACGATTCAGACTGGGGATCCGTAAAAAATGTTTGAACACTTTGTCACCGGCTGGGCTCGATCCCTGCTTCTCCTGTGTTCGGCCTAGTGTGTCGTGTTTAAGATAGGCCTGTCACATAGGATTTGGTCACAGTATTCCCATTAAATTCATTAGGCTATTTGGACTCTAAAAGGCATGCAATAAATGTCGTCCTTTTGATTTCATGTTTCCTATTCAAGACTTCAGTTTTAGATAAGCATTAATTGAAGGATTGGTTAACTTCTTGGCAGCCCTTGAGACTTTAGTTAAAATGAATTGGAGGCGAGCCATAGTAGACAACAAATAGCCCATAGCCCTCCGAGTTTGTTTAGTTTAAGTATCTTTTAAATAAATGATGAGACGAATCTCGCCGAATAAAATTACAAATGTGGGGCCTTCAATAAGTGGTTATTAAAATACTTAGAATTCGGGAGGGCCGTTTACTGAATTTCATGGACTTCCCTAAAATAATATTGCGTTAGACTTTTTAGACGTGATTTAATTAAACTTTACTTCCTTAAACTCGGGTGTGCATTGATGCGACCCAAATCCAAGTCTCGACGAAGTCGAAATGTGCTGACTACCATGGGTGCATTGATTGCGACGTGGTTCGAAGCGCGTTTTCACAACGTCGCGATTCCTTTAAAATAAATGATGATAAAAAGCGGTTTACGAGTAAAAGGCACATAAGCTAGCATGTATTAAAATCAGATAAAATCAAATGCAACAGTTAAGCGACTGTGCTAGAAACACGGAACCTGGGAATGCCTAACACCTTCTCCCGGGTTAACAGAATTCCTTACTCGGATTTCTGGTTCGCAGACTGTAGCAGAGTTACATTCTTCCTCCGTTCGGGATTCAACCGGTGACTTGGGACACCATTAATCTCCCAAGTGGCGACTCTGAAGTCTTAATAATAAATCCCGTTCCGATTGTCCTTTAATTGGAAAAACTCCTTTACGCCCTTGCGGGGTGTAGTAAAAAAGGAGGTGTGACAGCTTTGGCGACTCTGCTAGGGAACGAACCCAGAATCTCTTGTTCAGGGTTCAGAATTCGAGCTTAGATAAATTGTTGTATTTGGTTATATCTGATTTTCCTACATGTTTTGTGCTGAATATGCTAAATGTTACCGGTTTGATATCATTTGAACTGTATATAAACTGTGCCGACACCCTTCTCTCTTCACCTCCGGGGATGTGCTTACTGGTTGAAACTCCCTATTCTGTTAGTGTCATACCCTGAAATAAAAAAGTGGCTCGGATAAGTTGCAAAGCCGGACGATCTCGCTGGTCCCCGGTACGCTGCCCCCTTCTCGACTCGAGTTGTCCGCTTGAGTGCACTTTTTAGAACACATACCCAGGTTTTGAACCCAGAATAACTTGACTTCATGCCAGATCCCTAGTAGGAGCGCTTAATTGCATCATGCTGCATTTGACTTAGGGGACTCAACATAGGGGTTGGGTCCGTCTAGGGCTAGCAACCAGAAATAAAAAGACCATCCTGATGCATCCTACTTGTTCTGTACATACATTTGTTCCGAACCGGCATGTTGACCGGCTTTTGAATCTCGGGAATGTTGGAAAATTGAAAAAAAAAAAGGAAAAGAGAAAAGGAGAGAAATAGCAGTTAGGGAGTTAATCGATTATTTTAGAAAAACCAATGACCCAATACTGCCGAAACTCTGCCGAAATTTTGAGAAAATGGAAAAAGGAAAATGTTTTAGTTTTTATTAGTTTGTTTTACTAAAATGCAAAGGGAAAATAGAAGAAGAGACTTTTACTTTTGGAAAGTTGTTTGTTGAAAAAGAAAAGAAAAAGAGTCTTTGTTTTAGTTTGGAAAAAGTTTGTCTTGCCATGGAAAATGAAAAGAAAGAGCCTTGTTTTCAAAATTATAGTTAGTTTCTTTGCCGGAACTACGCGGGTTTGATTCTCACAGGGAGTGAGATACGTAGGCAACGTTCATCGGGTCCAACCTCCCCTTTGCAAAAATAGCCAAAAATATTTTAGTTTAAATTTTTGCATGAATAAATCGGGTGATGTCGTTTTGTCAAAAACAATCGAACGTTCCCGAGATGGACGCCGGAAGGCTGACGTTGCATAAATGCCACCTTTGGTCAAATTTGATTTTTGACCGGTTAATTCTCACAACCTTAAAATCTTCGTTATTGGGAGTGCTGAAAGACCGTGTTTGAAAACCGAGTCTTTCATTTTAAATTTTGAAAAGGAAATAGTTAATTTTGTTTTGAGTCAAAAAAAAGTTTTGTTTTTGCTTAAATCACCTTAATAAATGTGCAGGATGAGCACGATGCAAAATGAACCTTTCTCAATAATGACTAAAATCTCTTTCGAGTTGCGGCTATGGTGGGACGATTTAGGCAAAGAAGGACAAGACGAAGTCAAGAAATATCTGAAAGGTCTTACGGGTCTGCTGGAAATCAAGCCTCGGGGTGATATTATAAGAGCGTTGGTCACTTGCTGGGACCTAGCGCACAATGTCTTCCACTTCCCAGATTTTGAGCTCACCCCAACTCTGGAGGAAATCGCCGGGTACATCGGAAATGCTGAGGTTCCGATTACCTGAGGGAGAAAACATATTGGTTCCCACTTTAAAGCAATGGAATCCACCTGATATTGACACGTCGAAGGATTTCGACATCGAGACTCCCTCGTCTATGCTGGGTCGCTGTGAGAACGTGTCTCGATATGTTAGCGTCGTGACCGATGTTAGCAAAGTGAAGGAGGACTGCCGATGAGCAAGGCAGTGGAGGTAGAGATTCCCGGCCCCAATGATAACATTACCAACTTCAAGACTGGCTTCCTTTACATATACACTTACACATTCACCCTCGGCCCTGATAAATTCATTGAATCTCCTCCCTTGGAAATTGACCCGGTTATTCTTGACTTCTGCGCCTGATATTAGGTGACCTTTGGTCAGATCTACTCATCCTTTTGGAGGATAGTGTTAATGCTTAGGCATTTTACCGAAGGAATTAAAAGTGAAGTTTTCACCCTTAACCATTTGATCAAACTGTACCGCCATCGGCTATATCGAGGCTTAATCATGCTCTGCCACCGGTCCAAAAAGTCATTTTTCACAAACATTGATGAGGGGAAGGACCGAGGATGGATGAGCTAGTTTATCCGAGTGAGGACCTCGGATATCATCCCGGCCCGGAGGATGCCCTTTCCGGAGCAGTGGAATGCTCGACGTAAGAGAATTTCCCTTTAACCATTTCTCAATTACTCTTTCACTCATCGTAATAACCTCTTTGTGCTTTCTGCAGCCACTGCTTGGCATCCGAAGGTGGTTCCAGACATGTCAGGATGGATCAGGCATCTGGACGAGAAGTTCATGTACCGCGTTTGGTCTTGGACCGTCATGGATAAGGAGCATTGGGTTGCCAAGAGTCACGGTGAGGTTCCTTTACTTCCTATGCTTCGCATTTTGTGTTTCCTTTCGAGCCCTTAGCGAAAATGCAATGCGGTTATTGTGCTGGTGTAGACCTTGGCGAGAATATGCAGACGAGGACGCCCCCTGACGGTGAAGCTGAGGCCTTGGAGCCTGATATGAACAAGAAAAGGAAGAGCAGGGCAGCCATTGCCTAACCTAATAAGACTGTTGCTCTTACCTCCGGGTCGAATCCTGACATCGAGGGGGGGATGATGATGGAAGTCCATTGAGGAGGAGAACAAGGTCCAGTGCGAGATATTTGTAGGCACCACGATTGGAGGCTGCTGAATACGGGACGGCTGGCTCCAGCCCGGCTGTTGAGCAGAGCATCCTTGAAGAGGACGCTGATGTAGCTTCGAATTGTATGGCCGGATTTGGATTAGCTTCTGCTAGGAGGACCGTTGGTGTTGATCCATAGGGACCAGGGTTCGGAGCCTTCTAGGAGTGTGTGTTGCTATTTAGAGAAATCGGCGAACCGAACGACCTCATTTTGAGCTTTCCAGTTTCTTCAGGGGAGTTGAGGGATGCCGAAAAGATGGTCGGTGTAACAGCCGAGACTCCTCCCAAAGGGGGAGATTTTATTGCCAACATTTTTTATGGCGTAATCGACAGGGCTGATCTCGATATTTGTTGTGTCGTCAAAGCGGCGTAGAAGTCAATGCAATAGGTGATAGTTTTCCCTTGCGTATTTCTTTTCATTCTCGGGCGTTATTCGCCGTCTTTCTAAAATTTCTCATTGTGCCGCAGTGTAAGGAGATGTATGACCATGCCATTCTTCGGCTCCAAGGGGAACGTTTTTGCCACGAGAAGGAGCGTAATAACATTGCTTCGAAGCTGTAGGACTCGAAGGCTCGTTGTGCCCAAGGAGACAAAGAGTTGGGAGAACTTCGGACCACTTTGGAGGTGGTGCTCCAGGAGAAGGCCGCTCTTGCTGCTCAGGTACTCTGCCTCGTTCATGCCCGCCCTTTTACCCCGTATCCACACATGTTCTGGATTCATGTATTTGTCGACTTGCCCTTCTTCGTAGATCGAGCAGAGTAACTTGCGGATTGGTCAGTTAAAAGCGGAGGTCTCCAGGCTAAACGAGCAAAACGAGACCGTGGTCGGGGAATTGGTGACATCCCGGGATCTTCTCACGGATGCTCGCAAGGAGATTGTTACTTTGGCCGCGGCTAAGTCTGAGGCTGAATGAGATACTGCCACTTATAAGGAGAATGCGACCAAGGCACATACAATGATTCACGACATGTCCATGGCAGCTGAGCATAGACTAATTCGAGCTGTCGAGTATGCCAAAGCGGTGGCGAAGAGGGAGACCCTAGAAGAACTCGAAGCCAGAGGCTTCGAGCTGTCTGCCGATCTGGAGGAGGCTCGTGCGATGGAAGGAAGAGGCTTCTACTTGCTTCTTTGTTTTTGTGTTCCAGCACCAGCCCTTCGGGGCCTTTTCGTTGGACAGACCGAGGGCCCCGAGACTAGCCATGTCCCGAGGTAGAATCGATAGTTCCTCTCGAACCGATATTTATGACATCGGGGATCTTCTGAGGTCCTTCGGTTTTATGAATTATGCGGGAGCCTGGAATGATTCTTCCAGTGCACTCCCCAACGAGCAGTTGTCGCTTAGCCTTTATATATTTTATCATTCGCTCTTCAAGCGGCGATTTTGCAATTTTTGATAAGCCTATCTCCTCTGCAGGCCTGGCGCTTTGTGTGAGTCCTTCCGTTCCCTTGCTTCAGAAAGTATTTGCCTGGATCCTCATCTTCTCCCCCTTATTCTGCTGTAATCATGGCCGCTGCTTCGACGGCTAATCCTTGGACGGAGAGGAGTACCTACTGTGCTCCGCCCTTGGTTGGTACCAATGGCTCGCCCTCGATATCGAGGGAGCGAGATTTGGGTCGCCCTACCTTGAAGAAGGTTGTCACACCGGGGAGACCTCCCAATGTTCCAGGCCATCGAGAGCATGTGTCGAGGATTATTTCAGCGGTGAGGGAGGAAAACCTCGAGATGATCAGGAAGAATGCGTATAGGGGGAAGGTGTGATTTTGCAAGCACCTTCCCCCGAGGAGAGTATCATGACATACGTTGAGGGGTTCTTGAGTGTGTATATTCAAATTCTTGTGCCGGGTTCCCCAGACCGGGTCGTGCTTGATTTTTGTAGGAGATATCAAGTAACGTCGGTGCAGGTTCATCCCTTTCTTTAGAGAATAGTGTAGTTGATGAGATATTTTGCTGACAAGACCGAGATAGAATTCACCCTCAACCACCTCGTGAGGTTGTATCGGACATTGTGCTATCGGGGCCTGATTGCTCTTCAACGTAGATCCACACGTGCTCCTATGATCGGCAGCGAGGAGGATGAGGACCATGGATGGATGAATCGGTTCATTCGAATCTAGACGACCGATGTTATCCCCGCTGCCGTTCCCTGAGAGATGGAACCTCACACATAAGTGCTTCGTTTGAACTGTCTTTTAACTCAGCATGGGGTTGGCCCTGTAACGGTATCTTTCTGTACTTTGTTTATAGCAACTCATTGGTTGCCCGGCGAGATCCCTGATTTAACCGAATGGTTTCGTAATCTAGCAGCTTGCTCGGCCTATGATAGGCACCGGTGGCGAGATATATTAAAAGGGAGATGGGAGGCGAAGCATTACGGTAGGTGTTTGGCATCTTCCCCCCCCCCCCC